AGAAGCAGACAGAAGCAGAAGCAGAAGAAGCAGAAGCAGAAGAAGCAGAAGCAGAAGAAGCAGAAACAGAAGAAGCAGAAGCAGAAGCAAAAGAAGAAGAAGCGGAAGCAACAGCAGAAGAAGTAGACAGATGCAGAATCAAAAGAAGCAGACAGAAGCAGAAGAAGCAGAAGCAGAAGCAGAAGAAGCAGAAGAAGCATAAGCAGAAGGAGAAGAAGCAGAAGCAGAAGCAGAAGAGGCAGAAGCAGCAGAAGAAAGAGAAGCAGCAGAAGAAGCAGAAGCAGCAGAATAAGCAGAAGAAGAAGAAGCAGAAGAAGCCGAAGCAGAAGAAGCAGAAGCAGAAGAAGAAGCAGAAGCAGAAGAAGAAGAAGCAGAAGAAGAAGAAGAAGAAGAAGCAGAAGCAGCAGACAGAAGAAGAAGAAGAAGAAGCAGAAGCAGAAGAAACAGAAAGAGAAGAAGCAGAAGCAGAAGAAGCAGAAGAAGCAGAAGCAGAAGCAGTCAGAAGCAGAAGCAGAAGCAGAAGAAGCAGGAGAAGCAGAAGCAGAAGAAGCAGAAAAGCAGAAGCAGAAGAAGCAGAAAAGCAGAAGCAGAAGCAGAAGAAGAAGAATCAGAAGCAGAAGCAGGAGAAGCAGAAGAAGCAGATGCAGCAGAAGCAGAAGAAGAAGCAGATGCAGCAGAAGCAGAAGAAGAAGCAGATGCAGCAGAAGCAGAAGAAGAAGCAGATGCAGCAGAAGCAGAAGAAGAAGCAGATGCAGCAGAAGCAGAAGAAGAAGCAGATGCAGCAGAAGCAGAAGAAGAAGCAGATGCAGCAGAAGCAGAAGAAGAAGCAGAAGCAGCAGAAAAAGCAGCAGGCAGAAGCAGAAGCAGAAAAAGCAGAAGCAGAAGCAGAAGGAGCAGAAGCAGAAGCAGGAGAAGCAGAAGAAGCAGATGCAGCAGAAGCAGAAGAAGAAGAAGAAGCAGAAGAAGAAGCAGAAGAAGCAGAAGAAGAAGCAGAAGCAGAAGAAGAAGAAGCAGAAGAAGAAAAAGAAGCAGAAGCAGCAGCAGAAACCGAAGCAGCAGAAGAAGCAGAGCAGAAGAAGCAGAAGTAGCAGAAGCAGAAGCAGAAGAAGCAGAAGCAACAGATACAGAATCAGAAGCAGCAGAAGCAACAGAAGAAGAAGAAGCAGCAGAAAAATCAGAAGCAGCAGAAGAAGCAGAAGAAGAGACAGAAGCAGAAGAAGAAGCAGAAGCAGAAGAAGAAAAGCAGAAGTAGAAGGAGCAGAAGCAGAAGAAGCAGAAGCAGAAGAAGCAGGCAGAAGCAGATAAAGTTAGAAGTCAGAAGCAGGCAGAAGCAGTCAGAAGCAGAAGCAGAAGAAGCAGAAGCAGAAGAAGCAGAAGCAGAAGAAGCAGAAGCAAAAGAAGTAGAAGCAGCAGAAGAAGAAGCAGAAGCAAAAGAAGCAGAAGCAGAAGAAGAAGAAGAAGCAGAAGCAGAAGAAGCAGAAGCAGAAGAAGCAGAAGCAGAAGAAGCAGGCAGAAGCAGAAGAAGTTAGAAGAAGTCAGAAGCAGGCAGAAGCAGTCAGAAGCCGAAGCAGAAGAAGCAGAAAAGCAGAAGCAATAGAAGCAGAATCAGAAGAAGCAGAAGGAGAAGCAGAAACGGAATCATCAACAGAAGCAGCAGCAGAAGAAGCAGAAGCAGAAGAAGCAGAAACAGAAGAAGCAGAAGCAGAAGAAGCAGAAGCAAAAGAAGTAGAAGCAGCAGAAGAAGAAGCAGAAGCAAAAGAAGCAGAAGCAGAAGAAGCATAAGAAGCAGAAGCAGAAGAAGCAGAAGCAGAAGAAGCAGAATAAGCAGAAGAAGCAGAAGAAGCAGAAACAGAAGCAGAAGAAGCAGAAGCAGAAGCAGCAGAAGCAGAAGCAGCAGAAGAAGCAGAAGAAACAGAAGCAGAAGAAGCAGAATCAGAAGAAGCAGAAGCAGAAGAAGCAGAAGCAGAGGAATCTGAAGCAGAAGCAATCAGAAACAGAAGCAGAAGCAGAAGAAGCAGAAACAGCAGAAGCAGCAGAAGAAGCAGAAACAGAAGCAGAAGAAGCAGAAGAAGCAGAAACAGCAGAAGCAGCAAAAGAAGCAGAAACAGAAGAAGCAGAAGCAGAAGAAACGGAAGCAGACAGAAGCAGAAGCAGAAGAAGCAGACGCAGAAACAGCAGAATCAGAAGCAGAAGCAGCAGAAGCAGAAGCAGCAGAAGCAGAAGAAGCAGTAGGCGCAGAAGCAGACAGAAGAAGCAGGAGCAGACAGTAGAAGCAGAAGCAGACAGAAGCAGAAGAGGCAGAAGCAGAAGCAGTAGAAGCAGAAAGAGAAGAAGCAGAAGCAGAAGAAGCAGAAGCAGAAGAAGCAGAAGCAGAAAAGAAGAAACTGAAGCAGAAGAAACAGAAGCAGAAGCAGAAGAAGCAGGAGCGGAAGAGGCAGGCAGAAGCAGTCAGAAGCAGGCAGAAGCAGTCAGAGGCAGAAGCAGTCAGAAGCAGAAGCAGAAGAAGCAGCAGCAGAAGCAGCAGAAGAAGAAGCAGAAGTTGAAGGAGCAGAAGAAGCAGAGGCCGAAGATGCAGAAGAAGCAGCAGCAGAAGCAGAAGAAGCAGAAGAAGCAGCAGAAGAAGCAGACAGAAATAGAAGCAGAAGAAGCAGACAGAAGCAGAAGCATATGAATCAGAAGCAGAAGAAGCAGAAACAGAAGCAGCAGAAGCAGAAGCAGAAGAAGCAGAAGCAGAGGAAGCAGAAGCAGAAGAAGCAGAAACAGAAGAAGCAGAATCAGAAGAAGCAGAAGCAGAAGAAGCAGCAGCAGAAGCAGAAGAAGCAGAAGAAGCAGCAGCAGCAGCAGACAGAAATAGAAGCAGAAGAAGCAGACAGAAGCAGAAGCATATGAATCAGAAGCAGAAGAAGCAGAAACAGAAGCAGCAGAAGCAGAAGCAGAAGAAGCAGAAGCAGAGGAAGCAGAAGCAGAAGAAGCAGAAACAGAAGAAGCAGAATCAGAAGAAGCAGAAGAAGAAGAGTCAGAAGCAGAAGAAGCAGACGGAAGTAGAGGCAGAAGAAGCAGACAGAAGCAGAAACAGCAGAAGCAGAAGCAGCAGAAGCAGAAGCAGAAGAAGCAGAATCAGAAGAAGCAGCAGAAGAAGTAGGCAGAAGCAGAGAGAAGCAGAAGAAGCAGAAGCAGAAGCAGAAGAAGCAGAAGCAGCAGAAACAGAAACAGAAGAAGCAGAAGCAGAAGAAGCTGAAGCAGCAGAAGAAGCAGAAGAGGCAGAAGCAGCAGAAGAAGCAGAATCAGAAGCAGCAGAAAAACAGAAGAAGGAGAAGCAGAAGAAACAGAACAGAAGCAGAAGAAGAAGCAGAAGCAGAAGAAGAAGAAGCAGAAGCGCAAGACAGAAGAAGAAGAAGAAGAAGGAGCAGAAGAAGCAGAAGCAGAAGAAGCAGAAGCAGTCAGAAGCAGATGTAGAAGCAGAAGAAGCAGAAGAAGCAGAAGCGGAAGAAGCAGAAAAGCAGAAGAAGCAGAAGAAGTAGAAGAAGCAGAAGAAGAAGCAGGAACAGAAGAAGCAGAAGCAGAAGCAGCAGACAGAAGCAGAAGCAGCAGACAGAAGCAGAAGCAGAAACAGAAGCCGAAGCTGAAGCAGAAGCAGAAGCAGAAGAAGCAGAAAAAGCAGAAGCAGAAGCAGTAGAAGCAGAAGCAGAAGAAGCAGAAGCAGAAGCAGCAGAAGCAGAAGAAATAGAGGCAGAAGAAGCAGAAGCAGAAGAAGAAGCAGAAGCAGAAGCAGAAGAAGCAGAAGCAGAAGCAGCAGAAGCAGAAGAAACAGAGGCAGAAGAAGCAGAAGCAGAAGAAGAAGCAGAAGCAGAAGCAGAAGAAGCAGAAGCAGAAGGAGAAGCAGACAGAAGCAGAAGCAGAAGAAGCAGAAGCAGAAGCAGCAGAAGCAGAAGAAGCAGAAGCAGCAGAAGAAGCAGAAGCAGCAGTGAAGAAGAAGAAGCAGGAGCAGCAGAAGGAGCAGAAGCAGCAGAAGAAGAAGAAGCAGAAGCAGAAGAAGCAGAAGAAGAAGCAGAAGCAGGAGAAGCATCAGAATCAGAAGACAGAAGCAGAAGCAAAAGAACCAGATGCAGAAGCAGAAGAAGCACAAGCAGAAGCAGAAGAAGCAGAAGCAGAAGCAGCAGAAGCAGAAGCAGCAGAAGCAAAAGCATAAGAAGCAGAAGCAGGAGAAGCATCAGAATCAGAAGACAGAAGCAGAAGCAAAAGAACCAGATGCAGAAGCAGAAGAAGCAGGCAGAATCAGATTAAGTTAAAAGAAGTCAGAAGCAGGCAGAAGCAGTCAGAAGCAGAAGCAGCAGAAGCAAAAGCATAAGAAGCAGAAGCAGAAGAAGCAGAAGCAGAAGCATCAGAAGAAGCAACAGCAGAAGAATCAGAAGCAGTAGAAGCAGCAGAAGAAGCAGACAGAAGCAGCAGAAGAAGCAGAAGCAGATAAAGAAGTAGAAGTAGCAGAAACAGAAGAAGCAGAAGAAGCAGAAGCAGAAGCAGAAGAAGCAGAATAAGCAGAAGCAGAAGAAGCAGAAGCAGAAGAAGAAGAAGAGAAGAAGCAGAAGCACAAGCAGCAGAAGCAGAAGAAGCAGACAGAAGCAGAAGCAGAAGAAGCAGAAAAAGCAGAAAAAACAGAAGAAACAGAAGCAGAAGAAGCAGAAGCACAAGAAGCAGAAGCAGAAGAAGCAGACAGAAGCAGAAGCAGAAGAAACAGAAGAAGAAGACAGAAGCATAAGGAGAAGCAGCAGAAGCAGCAGAAGAACAGAAGAAAGAGAAGCAGAAGAAGCAGAAGCAGAAGCAGCAGAAGCAGAAGGAACAGAAGCAGAAGAAGCAGAAACAGCAGAAGCAGAAGCAGTAGAAGAAGAAGCAGAAGCAGAAGCAGAAGAAGAAGAAGCAGAAGCAGAAGAAGCAGAAGCAGAAGCAGACAGAAGCAGAAGAAGAAGAAGAAGAAGCAGAAGCAGCAGAAGAAGCAGAAGCAGCAGAAGAAGCAGAAGCAGCAGAAGAAGAAGAAGAAGGAGCAGAAGAAGCAGAAGAAGAAGCAGAAGCAGGAGAAGCATCAGAAGCAGCAGACAGAAGCAGAAGCAGCAGACAGAAGCAGAAGCAATAAAACCAGATGCAGAAGAAGAAGAAGCAGAAGCAGAAGCAGCAGAAGCAGAAGCAGAAAATGCAAAAGGAGAAGCAGCAGAAGAAACAGAAAAAGCAGAAGACGCAGAAGCAGACAGAAGAAGCAGGGGCAGACAGAAAAAGCAAAAGCAGACAGAAGCAGAAAAAGCAGAAGCAGAATCAAAAGAAGCAGAAGCAGAAGCTGAAGCAGAAGAAACAGAAGCAGAAGCAGAAGAAGCAGAAGCAGAAGATGCAGGCAGAAGCAGTCAGAAGCAGGCAGAAGCAGTCACATTCAGAAGCAGTTTGAAGCAGAAGCAGAAGTAGCAGCAGAAGCAGCAGCAGAAGAAGCAGAAGTAGCAGGAACAGAAGCAGAAGAAGCAGAAGCAGAAAAAGCACAAACAGAAGAAGCAGAAGCAGAAGAAGCAGAAGAAACAGCAGAAGAAGCAGACAGAAGAAGAAGCAAAAGAAGCAGAGAGAAGCAGAAGCAGAAGCAGCAGAAGCAGAAGAAGCAGAAGCAGAAGAGGCAGAAGAAGCAGGAGCAGAATAAGCAGAAGCAGAAGCAGAAAAAAAGCAGAAGCAGCAGCAGAAGAAGCAGCCAGAAGCAGAAGCAGAAGAAGCAGACAGAAGCAGAAGAAGCAGAAGCAGAAGCAGCAGAAGGAGAAGAAAAAAAGCAGGCAGAAGCAGTCAGAAGCAGGCAGAAGCAGTCAGAGGCAGAAGCAGTCAGTAGCAAAAGCAGAAGGATCAGAAGCAGAAGCAGCAAAAGGAGCAGAAGAAGAAGAAGCAGAAGCAGCAGAAGAAGCAGACAGAAGCAGCAGAAAAAGCAGAAAGAAGAAGAAGCAGAAGCAGCAGAAGCAGAAGCAGAAGAAGCAGAAGCAGAAAAAGCAGAAACAGAAGCAGCAGAAGCAGAAGAAAAAGAAGCAGAAACAGAAGAAGCAGAAGCAAAAGAAACTGAAGCAGAAGAAGCAGAAGACGCAGCATCAGAACCAGAAGAAGCAGACAGAATTAGAAGCAGAATAAACACACAGAAGCAGAAGCACAAGCAGCAGAAACATAAGATGCAGAAGCAGAAGAAGTAGAAGCAGAAGCAGCAGCAGAAGAAGTAGACAGAAGCAGAAGCAGAAGAAACAGACAGAAGCAGAAGAAGCAGAAGCAGCAGAAAAAGAAGCAGAAGAAATAGAAGCAGAAGCAGAAGAAGCTGAAACAGCAGAAGAAGCAGATGAGGCAGATGCAGCAGTAGAAGGAGAATTAGCATAAGAAGCAGAAGCAGCAGAAGCAGAAGCAGCAGATAAAGGAGAAGAAGAAGAAGCAGAAGAATCAGAAGCAGAAGAAGAAGTAGAAGGAGAAGGAGAAGAAGCAGAAGAAGCAGAAGCAGCAGACAGAAGAAGAAGAAGAAGCAGAAGCAGAAGAAGCAGAAGCAGAAGAAGCAGAAACAGAAGAAGCAGAAGCTGAAGAAAAAGAAGCAGAATCATAAGCTTCTGCTTCTTTTTGCAGCAGAGAGAAGCAGAAGCAGAAGCAGTCAGAAGCCGAAGCAGAAGAAGCAGAAGAAGCAGAAGAGGAAGAAGCAGAAAAGCAGAAGCAGAAGAAGCAGAAGAAGCAGAAGCAGCAGAAGCAGCAGAAGAAGCAGCAGACAGAAGCAGAAGCAGCAGGCAGAAGCAGAAGCAGAAGAAGCAGAATGGGAAGAAGCAGAAGCAGAAGAAGAAGGAGTAGAAGCAGCAGAAGAAGCAGTAGAAGCAACAGCAGAAGCAGAAGTAGCAGAAGAAGCAGAAGCAGCAGAAGAGGCAGAAAAACAAGAAGCAGAAGAAAAGCAGAAGAAGCAGAAGCAGAAG